GCAATGAGCTCACTAAATGATACCCCCGCCTCCCATAATGTCCATGTGTTGTTATATATTGTTTTACGCTAATGTGTAAAGAGGAATAATAACTCGTCCTATCAAATATTATCCAGAAACTTCTATATGTGACGTCATAGGTAAACATATACGTCATAGGCAATAATGGCAATGTTCATGTTTTGCTATGGGAAACCTAAAATACGTGTCGAATAAAGAAGTAAAATAGGAGTTACACAATTGCAATATGTAATAAAGATTCTGTGAAAGTTTCATTAAATTTCACTCAGTAGTATAAGAGGAGTTGCGGATAAGAGATAAAGCGTAACAGACGGACGGACGGACGGAAAACCCGATTACTATATACCCTCCCACTTTTCAAGCGGGGGGTATGATAAGTTTCGACAGTCATAAAAACTAACAGAGTATCAATAAAGCAATTTCAATCTTCTTTAGTGAGTGTTTAAGGAATGATGTTTTGGCATTTATAAAATACTTAAACGAAACAACTGTTCAGATTCAACAAGTTAAAAAGCGGGAGGGTATATAGTAATCGGTATTTTCGTCCGTCTGTACGTCCGTCCGTCCGTTTGTCTGTTACGCTTTGGGGTACCCATCTCTTATCCGCAACTCCTCTCATTCCACTGAAGTAAATTTAATTAAACTTTCACAGAACCTTTATTACATATTGCCATTGTGCACCTCCTATTTTACTTTTTGATCTGACATACATTTTGGATTTTCCAGAGCAAAACATGGATACTGCCATTATATTCATATGGGAGGTAGGGGGTATCATTTAGTGAGCTCATTGCTCACAGTACCTCAAGTTGTATTACAGATAATATAAATTAACTTTCTTAGACTAAGTGTACATGTATTACATGAAAATGTCTGTAACATACGTCAAAATAAGGACTTACAAAGTATTACTCTTGAAGCTGCACAGACTTCAACTGAAGCGTTTCCCCATTCATTAATAACGCAATGATATTTGAAGCCTAGGGGAAACTTGTTGATTGGGTGAATGGAAACTGGACAATTCTTCTTCTGTGACCTTTCCACCCATTCTTCCTTGGATACTGGGCAAGACGTAACTAACTCCGCGGTATCTGGCAAACTGTACGCTATACCTTCTGTACCCTGTGTTTTGTTTCAGTTGGATAAGAAAGTAAAAGAGAATATATTTTTGTGGTAAAGTTAAAATTCTACTCTTATTTTTGTTTTTAAAATTTGAACTTGTAAAAAAAATTGATAATTACCAAAACATGCATTCCTAAGAGCGGCCAAAAAATGCTGATGCCAAAGGGTGTTTTCATCTTTCCTTAGAATATAATTCCTTCGTTCTTGTAGCATGTACCATAGAAAAGATAATTATTGAACGAATAATATGCTTAGATTGATTGATTGTAAACTGTTTAACGTCCCTCTCCAGAATAATTCACTGATATGGAGACGTATATGCTTAGATGATACATAATTTCAATACTAATGAAAAAATGTCGACACAGTTATTGATATATATTAAAGAGGTAAAAAATAAGGAAATATGTGTTCTCTTTTTTACATATACGAGGTTGGTTCCTGATGTTTAATATCTTAAACTTTTTTGTCAAGTATTTTTGTCCCCCACTATCGCGAAGGCGAGGGGATATTAAATCTCATTCGTTTGTCCGTCAATCTGTCTAGCTGTCTGTCTGTCACAAAAACTTCAACATTCCCCATAACTTTTGGTAAAGTTGAGTAAAGACTTTCATATTTGACATGTGTATTCCTTGTTACAAGACCTTTCTTTGGGTACCACCAAATTTGACCTTTTGACCTTGACCTTGGAGCTTGACACACTTTTATACAATTATTTAATGTTTACTTTATCAATCACTTTTCAACAGTAGATACTTGGACTTTTATATTTCATACATGTTTTCTTTGTGTAAAGAAATTTTATTGATACCATCAACTTTGGCTTTTTGACTTTCATCTTATAGTCTGACCATTTTAATAAATTTGACCTTGGCCATACCTTTTCAACAGTAAGGGTTAGGGCTCTCATACTTCACGTATTTCAACTTTGTGACAATCCCTTTCATTTGATATCAAGAATTTTGACCCTTTGACCTTGACCTTGGAATTTGACCTACTCTTAAAGTTTTCCCTCTTTTCCATAACTTTTGAAGGGTTAGTGCTACAGTTTTCATACTTCACATATTACATATTTTTACTTTAAAAGTGACATATCAACAACAAAGCGGGGGGCCACAATTCATTGAATTTGCTTGTTGTAGTTTTTACCCATAAAGCTTAATTAAAAATCAAATAAAAAATAGTGGTCAATATAATAATAAAAAATTTTACATCTTCTACGTTTTACTTCCAAAGTTTTCTTTCAAATAAGGCATCGAACAAAGTAAACGTAGAGTCTATTCCAAAAAGAAACTTTTATATTCTGTCTGAGAAAGGGTTTCAAATTACTGCGCATATTAAACATTTATATGACCTTTTCACACCCACAAAATGTTTTCTGTCATATAATAAATATGAAAAGCATGATTTTTTTCAAAGTGGGACAATTTTGTTGAATTTAAGCAAATAGTTCTCCTACATATCCAGAACCTCAAAAGTAGGGTACATGAAGTACATTCTTAATTATTACTAAATAAGTGTCAATTTTTGGATGAAATTGGCTAATTTTTCCCCTGGACTTTCAGAATATGTTTACTATATTCGTAAGAATTCCTTGGAAGAATTCATAAGAAATAATAAAATAGATACATGTATTAGAGAACCAACATAACACATATCACTGAAAAAAAAAGCTTTTTGTTCAACCGGCATGGAAAAATAGAAATCTAAAATTAACAGTACTGAGTATTTTTGGAAAGGGAACAAATTGATCATTTTTTTTTCTATAAGAAAGTGTTTATGTTCGAACTTATAAAATTAAATAGAAGTATAAGCACAGAACAAAATCTGCTCTGAGCGCAGGATTGAACTTCCTTAACTATATATTCTTTTTACAAATATTAAACCCATGAGTATTGCTAAAAACTAAAACAAGTTATACACAGGTATACGTCTTGTCGATCTTCCACTTAATGTTTTCTTTTTACATTTTACTATTTTACGCATTGAATAGTTGAACCCTGAGTGACAAAAAGGGTTACAATTGTAGATGAGATAATAAAATAAAACCAAAAGTAATCAAAAAATATCATACAGCTGTATACATGAACGTAGAGAAAAAAAACCTTTGGATAATAGAAGAAGAATACAGTTTGTATACATGTATCACCATAATACAAATCTAATTAGATTTACCTTGTGGATACTGTCAAGCTGTTAACTAAATTATGTTTTCCCCTAAAAATATAATTGGTGCTTTATCTTTCAAATCAAATGACAAAACATAATTTTACTATTTATACTAATTAGATTTATACTAATTAGATTTCCGTTCCCTATAATTTAAATCAGAAAAATATTGTCAATATTAATCAAATAGATTAGATAATTCTGCAACAAAACTAAACCCTTGTTAAATCCAGGAACTGTTAAATTGATTAAAATCAAATGCTAGATTGTAATCTGTAGGAATAAGGATATTTTTTCATACCAATCAAATGTATTTAAAACTTTTATTTCGAATTTATACCTGTGTATTCTCTAATATTGACTTGTTTTTTTTTTATCGTGAGCCGTAGTGCCTTACCCTGTGCATAATTATTCAAGCATAACAAAATCTTTATTTTTGTGTATATAGTATCAAAAATATCATGATCCATTTAAATATAATAAACAAACATTTGCTGAAAATTTCAACATAGTGTGCCCATTACTTTTCGAGAAAAAACGCTTTGAGCACTATTTTAACGGACAACCCTCGTACATGTATAATTATATATAATTTATTTATCTGTTTATTTACATAATTACTAGCACGGCAAATCTACCACCTTGCCACTTTTAGCTTGCGCTTCATCTATCACTGTTACAGGTACATATACATGTTATTCAAACGTCTTAGATGTTTAACATGCCCATTGCAACTATTAATTGATATTATGATTAGATGATATAAATTTTGTTTTTAATTCTATTTATGTTAAGAGGAAAAGGTCAATATTTTCAAAAAACTGATTTTTTTTTATATTTTCATCATCGTATGTTACACAAAACTTGACTTTGAATACTAGCAAAAAGATACATTAAAAGATTGTTGATAAATTCAAAACATCATTCACTCAGAATTTCTCCTTTTAAAATTAATATGATTTAAGTGCCACATGACACGTGGTTGAGCATAATTCATTTAATGGTAGATCTAGTATTGACTTGACAAATAAATTCAATTTCTTACAAAGTTTTTCCATTTTATACTTTATAAGATCTCTTGTCCGCTGTATTTTTTTAAATATTTATTTTATTTTTTGATGAGGGCTTGGGTAAAAACACATCACGACTAATTGGATTTCGCTTTTACAGGAAAACGGAAGTAATTGTATTTTCAGCGCTATAATTTTATAAACCTTAAACATGTACAATTATAATAAAACTGGCATATTCTTCCGTGTTGTTTCATACGATAACGTTAAAATAAAAATTAAAGCCAAAATATCACTGATAAGTTTTGTTTTTAAATACTTCTTAAAAACTGTATTTATTTTTCTTTAAGGATATCCGATCTTCAGCCAGGAAGATTAACTCCTAATGTTGATATTGAATTTGAAACGCATCAAAAAGAAGCTTGAAAATTAAACTTTTTCATGCAACAATTTTCGTTTTATTTATCTTAATAAGATTCAAGGTTTTTTGGAAGGTATAGAAAAGTTTTTATAATAGGGAATATCCCTTGAAGCCCTTTATTATAGAGAATAAAAATTAACTGTGGTATTGTAAATATCTTAACCTATATGTTTATTAAACAGCCACTATTTATAAAAATACAGTTGATGGTTAAAACATACATCAATATTTTTTAACATCATCAACATAGTCAACAATTATAAAATTGCAATGCCAGCAATGTTCATAGCATGTTTCCACAGAGTATTATCTAATAAGAGACAAATACATGTACCTACACATGCAAAAAGATGATCAAATATGATAAAAAATTATTAATGTTACTGTTGAGAAAAAGAAAGCAATTATGTTAAACAAAGCCATAAATGAATCCATCTGTTTACAAGATTTTTTCTTACAACATCCACATTGATATTTCTTCTCTTCTTTATGAACATCAACTTTGAGGCTATCATCAATGATACAACTCTTTCCATTCTCTAATTGCAGTTCCTTTGCTTCTTTGGTGTAGTTTGGGTCGTGACCATGATTAAGAATAGGTTTGATATTAGGTTTTAAAAGAACGGATATGATTGTGCTTAACACACACAGGAGTAAATGAAATGCTACATATAAAGTGAGGTAGGGCACGTCGGTAGAATTTCGTGGCATGGTTTCCTCGAATAAGGTTAAGAAGACGGTGAATGTCAGAAAAAGTGTCAGACTGTATGTTATTCTCTCCCCTGAATCAACTGGAACGAAAAATGTCAGTGAATTTAAAACAGCAAGTATTATTATTGGAACAACAATAGTCAATACGATGTAAAGATATCTTCTCCTGAAATGAAGTTTGTAAACCACTGTTGTTAAATCGTATTCTTTGTTGTACACTTCTGTAAAGTTAAAATTCATAAACTCCCATTCACCATTTTCAAAAATGATATTCGTATCATCGGACGTCTTTGATCTTGGATTTGGTTTCTGGACCCAGTCAGTTACTTGCCATGCACCAACAGTAATTTTACAGCACTGCTCATCGAAAGGAAATCTGGAAACTTTGATGACACACGAAAGTTTAATTTTCCCACCAGGATACCAGGTGACGAGACCAATCGAATTCAGTGTTACAAATGGGTGAGGTTCTAAGCCATGGATATTTTCTTCGGTATACCACATAGTAAAATCTGGAGTCCAGATTTTTCGATGAGGAACTGTAATCAATTTTAGCCCATTCTCTTGAGTCTGGTTCCAAATTAGAAATTCATCATACCACTGAACATTGCACCAACCAAAAAAAGATATGTACTGCAAACGTTCTTCAACTTCTTGTACGGAATTGATAGAAAAATAGAAACTTACATGCACTGCCTCACTTTTATTTTTTCTTGGTTTTATCATAGAACTGTAGTTCTCAAAAATAGCTTTTTCGACGGTTAAAGAACATGAATAAGTTCCCAAACCGAAAAACAAAATCACTATTGTCAGACTCAATTTCTTTGTACGTTTTGTCAAAAACTTCATCCATTGTTGATTTATATAGAGTCTCTCACTTTAACTAATTGACTGATTCTCTTTCAGTAGTTTACGCAACTCATTCGCGTAATTTCCAATACTTGGAAAATTTAAATGTACTGAATAGATATTATCTCAAACAATCATGCGTATTTCAGTTTAAAGAGGTCAATAAGGTGATCTCTTTTCAAGATGCCGAATGCTAGAATGGATTTAAATAAAAGTAATCAATAAAGTCCATTCGATTTGTTTAAATAGTAGATGATAGTTGATAACCCATAATTCTCTTAATACTGCTTGAATTGAGTTCGAATTAAACACCATGTTTGTAAAACCCCTTCATTGTTTGAATGTCATTCAAAGAGGATAGAAATTTTTCTGAATACAATGTATATTTTATGATTTTATTGACACTCAGATAAAATTTTGCATTTAATTAAACCTATTATTACACCAACAGTTGTAGTCTTTGCTGCCGTATATATACATAATTTACCAGAAAATAGAATAGATTATAAAATAAGGGGTTTTTGTTTAACTTCAAAATACATATTGGTGTATATGACATTTATCGCAATTCAAAAAGTTCTTCCAATTAATTCATTGTTAAACATCAGTATTGCATTTTGTTCACTTATACGAGAGTTGTCCCAAAAAGTCGTAGACAAATGTTCATTACCTTTTTAAACATAAAACCAATACTAACCAAATTTTACATAGACATAATATATTCAATGTTCTCTAAAGTTGTGAATTGTTAAACATATATCTTTCATATTAATTATATTAGGACGATCTATATGAGGGCCGATTAGGCTTGTCAGCGCATGAACAAAATTCAGAATATTTTACGCATATAACTTGCATTTGCTTTTATTTTTTTAGTACGATGTAAAACATTGTACTCAAATTTAAAGTAAGTCCAGAACCAAAATCTTAATTATAATATGTCAAAATTTCATACAAATAGCATCAGAAACGGACGATTGGTCTAATGATTTTGGAAGTGTGGTTAGAATGGAGTTTGCATTGATGAAATGACATCATCAAACGCGTAACCGGCACACGGACATGTAATAAATTGTTTCGGATATACTTCAGAGCGAATTATTATGAGAAGCAATTATATTTTTTAATTGTCTTTTTGCCATTTAAAGCGTCGAATTTCAAATAATGTAACATATAAGGTATTTATACATAAGTTATTTTTTTAATAAGATTATTGATTCTGATGGGATTAAAAATTGTCTTGAACACTGCAATTTAAGTAGAATCTGAGGTGCACTTGTACGTCATAGCTGGAAATATTCGACTTACTTTACATTGACATTATCAGGTTACTTTGTCCACAAAAAAAATGCGCTATTCTCCTGCATTTCCAAATTTTTCCTGCTTTATTTCTTTTTTTTTCTTTTTTAAATTATCATCCTTTGCTAAATAAATCAGGTCGTCTGCTATAACATTGATGTAATTAAGAATAAGAAGGAAAGAAATCGTCATACGTTTAGAAAATGTAAGTCTTTGAGATAACCTGATCTGAACAACATAATAACCTAACCAAATTGAGTAAAGCTGTTGAGTTGTGAATTCTTAGGAATCAATGCATGAAAAATTGACCCTCAATGTTATCCCTCTTACTGCCAGAACTGTATCTAATTTGTGCAATTGATCATGATATACCGCTCGTTATCTCCATATGTTTCATAAAAAATGTAAGCTAAATCCTTAAAAAGAAATTCTTGACAGTAATTATTTGATAAATAACAAAAAATACCCCCCCCCCCCCCCCAAAAAAAAAAAAAAACAAAACAAAACAAAAAAAACAAAAAAAAAAAAACAACCAACAACAACAACCCCCGAAAATAAGGACAACAGACTCTCCTAAGATTGCTTAGTTTGTTGCGTTATGCATGGACTGGCTGTGATACGTATTGTTATGTTTTGATTGAAATTCAGATGATAGGATATAAGAATTAATTTCTTTTTTTACCTAGAAAGCTTTGTTAGGGCTATACTATGTATTTGAATAGCTACCCTTAACATTTACAAACTTTGAGATATCAACTTAACGGGGTACAAAAATACCAGTATAAGATAAAACAGAGATTAACAATACAATACACAAGTGTTTTTAAAGTATTATTGTTATAAAAAGTTGTTAATGACACCACATTATTTGAGACATTTGAGAGAGTTCTTTGTTCATTATGTACATTTTTGCGTCAGTGAATTTTTAATTCACCTTTCATATGCATCTGCTGAAATGAATGTTACAACATATTTCTTGTCTTGTGTAATTTGTTTGATGATTTAACTTCATACTTAAGGCCGGTATACACGATGAGATCTGTAGTTTAATACAAGTATTATAATACTTTATAATAAGAAAATATTATAACACAAAAGTATTATAATACTTTTGTATTATAATATTTTCTTGTACACACTCTAATACATATCTTATAAGATTGTTAATAAACTATTACTCCCACTTGTTTTCTCCTGCCATATGTCAAAATAATAAAATGATATTAATAAGCTCTGCTTCTAGCATCTCTTTTGTGGTAGCTACAGCTTGATATATTCCACAAGTCCTCTTCCACTTCCAATAAAACCGCGAGTTTTTCGATATCTTTACTCGAAAAGTCGGTCATTAATATTTACCATGTGCTTTATTTAGTAATAATATAAATAGGATGATCCCCAATGTGAGTACATTTGATTGGTTGAAAGTGAAAGGTGAGTTAAGGGGAGACAGGACACATGTCACATGACTAAAAAGACATATTTTGTCATAATCGGTGATGATATAGATGTTAAACGTTGTTAAAATCAACAGTTCTTGTGTAGTTTTATTCTAAATTCTAAAATTGTATTTTAAACATTTAATTTTAGAAATTAGTATCAATAAAAATTTTAAAGATCTTGTCATCATTTAGATATAATTGTGAAGTTGCCCAATCCACACATTTTTTCTCTTTACCCTGCAGTCTGACGTCAGTGACGTCATAGACGTAGTGTTTGAATTCTCAGTGCAGCGAGATCAAGTACACCCGTCATGATCAGTTTTATTTCATAATAAATAAGTCACAGCCAATGTATCGTGATAAATTTCTGAAGCAGATTTTTTTTAATTAATATTTTTTCGTGTTTAGTTGCAGAGATTCTCTCTATTTAGATAATTTTGAATGTTTATGTTTTCTTGTGACGTCATAATTGATTTCCCACACTCGGAAAATACGAACGTGAAGCGTTTTATCATGCTTACGTCTAATTAAACGTTTTCCTGTGCGATACTGAGGTAAGCTTTGGTTATTAAACCCTGTGATATTTATATAGTAAATTATTACGATGAAGGACTGACATTCAATCCTAAATTCAGAAATATTTATTGACATAATTGTTTCCAAATGAGGATTTTGTCGTTGAAGCTGCCTTGAAAAATACAAAAATTATCCCACCCAATTACTTTATAAAATTAAAACAATTGCTTTCAGATAATTTAAACAGTATGAATATTCTGAAATATTTGATTATATAGTGTTATCTATCATATTTATCATTTGTGCATAATAATGCGCATTATGGACTCCGTTATGGGCCTGTAAACATGAAGTATCTATTAGGAAATAGAACAGTGCTCTATTCTTAATACAGTCTTATAAGATTCGAAAAATCTTATGATACGCTGTATTAAGAGTGCATACACAGTAAGATTTTGTTTTATAATACAAATCTTACCGTGTATACCGGCCTTTACATGTTCATCATAAAATAGGAAACAAAACCCGCGTGAGCGGGTTATGATTTTTTTTCTGCAACAGCTGCGACATTCATTTCCGTAATAATAACCAAAGAAAGCATTTTATTGTTTAAATAACGAACAGTAGTGGAACTCATAAGTGCATGGTAACAAAACAAATCAAGAGAAGAGCAAACACAAACCTCAAAAGACATCATTTGTGAGATTTAACGAGGCTGAATCTAATTATTTCTGCCCAAGGGATTTGGATAATTTTATGATAATTAACTTTTACTGTTATATTTATTGTTTTAGGATTAAAAAAATCAAATGTTTACCACCCCGATTTTTTAGGGGGCCATCTCAAATGTTGTCAAACTTTACTATTGGACCCTATGGGAATTTGTTGGAAAATCGCCAATTTATCACATTTTTTCCATATTTTTTGTACTTCTACCCAAGGGATTTCTTTTTCAATCAAATTAATGAAAGTAAATGTAAAAAGTCACCAAATTGTGAATTTTCAATAAAATTCACCATCTCGATTGGTCTAGGAAGTAATAACTAGGTTTATTTTTTCGAAGCCAAATACCTCTAAAATTAGCCATATTACGGTATAAATACATATTTTTGCTGATGAATTATCGGTGCATACAATTTTTTTTCGGCATAAATAGCGATTTTTAGATTGCTAGTATGTTTCCTGGGAAGTTATGTCATCAGTTTTTAGTATTATATCCATGGACGTATTGAACATACAAACGAGTCATGTGTCATTCTTCTGTGTCAAGCACTGCTTACAAAATCTGAAAATGGTGACGTTGTTAGAGCCATTTCAACGTTCTTTTTCCAATAATTGTCGTAAAATCGCATTTTCAGATCAGTAGGAGTTACATTAAAGTTAATTTTGTATTAAAATTAA